TCTCTTTTCCACATGCAGACGGCCTCAGCCTCTTCTGTGCATGCGGATGGCTTCGGTCGTGTTTGTGCATGCAGACAGCTTCTTCTGCACGTATAGACAGCCTCAGCCTCTTCTGTGCATGTGGACGGCCTCTTTTGCGCATGCAGACACGCCAGCCAGCTCCATACTGTCTCCCATCAATAAAGGTCACAGGGTGAAGGTCGCGTCCGCCGTGCGTCACTCTTCCAGCTGGGGAGTTTGTGTTTCTTGCCATCTGCACCACCCCAGTCTCTCGCGTTTGCCCGTTCTCCTCCGCTGCCTTCGCACACGTGCTTTCTTGTGTTCTTTCCGCTCGGTACGCAACACTGACGTTCTTGACCAAGGGCCCTTTAGCGACGGGCAGTGTTGGGAGCGGAAAGGTGAGTGATGGCCTAGGCAAGGCCGCTCACTGGCAGACAGTGGGGGAGGGGCCTAGACTGCAGATATTCCTGGTTGATGGCCAGACACCGCGCCTCGTTGCTGTCCACAGCCCCCCCCCCCCCCCCCCCCAACTCAATGTGCGTCCCTCCGCTGTGAATCAATGTTAGTGACGAGGATTATGGCCGTCATTCAGACTCCCCCCCCCAACTCAATGTGCGTGGGGGAGGGGGGCATGTAAAACAAATTAATGTTCCTAGTTCCTGATGTGCAAAAGCTCTTCCATCAGCTGACACACACAGGCATACCCAAAAGGACAACAATTAATATTAAAATGCAGGGGGGGCGAACTGTAGAGGGGCTATCAATTTTACAGCAGCTCCTGCAGTGTTATTCTGTGGCTCATGAAATAACAAGACCCTCCTTTCATCTCACAGAGGGAGGAAGACAAGCGTGCATATCCACTGACACAGACTAGTGGATAAGCAGATAGACACACACTCACGGGCTGACAGGTAAACATAAAAAAAACACTCGCACAGGAAGTGAGCTCCCTTGAGATTCTGCATGAATAACAGGTAAGTAAATAAAATGAAGATCATATGATCCAGCCCTCAACAGACACGGGAAAAAGTGTTTTGTTCTCCCCGGAAGCAAACACAACAGTCTTAGTGCAGATCGGAGTTTGACCTCCATTCCCTGATACGTGACCTCTGTCGCGCGGTCTGCACTTGATTAAGAAAGACCCACATTTTACAAGATAAGAACATCCATGCATACTAAAGATAGGGCTCTCTAAAGATAGGACACATTACCTGAGGACATGAAAAAAATGCCTTTGAGTTTATAATTCATTGCACGTTTTCTAAATCTGTAAAGCCAGAGAGACATTTGCTGCCGTGACACAACTGCTTTCAAACTCAGCAAAACCCCTTAAATTCCACTGTTTTCATAATTAACAGAGATAGAGTGAACCTTGAAGCATTGCTGTCAAACAAAAACCAGCTAGTTTACAACATAGATCATAGATGCCCCCCACCCCCCCCCCCCAAAAAAAAAAAAGTCTGGACTTGACCTTGATATGATATAAATGCTTGTTTCATTTTGAAAGAAAAAGCTCATTCTGCACAACTGACAAACACTGACACTGTGAATTTCAAGTCAAGAGTACAGAAAATGGAAGCCTTGAAATATTAATAGTGCAATGCTGCGCAATGTCATTCACACAACATAAAACTGAGATGAATCAGCATTCATGAACATTGAATTGCCACCATTTGACAAGCAATATCTTCTATTCTAATATAGCACGAAAATGTGGTATGCAAGAGTAAACAAAATCCATTGATTAAATGTTGTTAAACAAGCATATTT